AGTAATTTAGATATATTATAAAAGTAATTTATATTTTTTCATCAAAATATAATCATGTGAGATCTTGTTATAAAGATTTAATTGTTACGAACACAACGGTGTAATCATATCGTAAATTGGATTAGTAGTTTAAGAGAAAATTGTATTTGAAGTATAGGTGGATAGTGTCTATCATATGTGGAGTGGTAGGTGGTTTGTCTAAACCAGCTACCACTAGCTGTGTAGTCACGTCCTTAAAAAAATATAGCTAAAGAGACGTACCACCATAAAAATCTACAAAATACCATATCTCGAAACCCCCTCCCCCCTCTAGACAGTCACCTCACCGGCAACGGGTGCAGTTGCAGTGTCGGAGGTGTATGCGAGCCGGACTTGGTAGGCAAGGGGCACAATCATACTTTTGTTTTTGTTTCTCTCTCCATTTCCTTTGGATATTATAAAATAATGTCACGGGTGTCCAGCAACTAAATACCAGTTTTTTCGGTGTCCCATAGCTGATACGCGTTCTTACGGTATCCCCGACTAATTTATTATAATTTATTAAGCTTAGTCGATTTAATAAATTTATTCGCCGCCGTCTCGAGCTCACTCGGCGACTCGACCTCTGGATTACCACACGTATGCCACGCAGAACAAAACCGCTTCGGATTGGGTCAAGGAGAGTTATACGTCCAGTATTGAAAATTCAGGGTGGGTAATGTCTGGTTTTCGGATTCAGGGGTAATTCGGTCGAACACGATGGTTCAGAGGGTGAGGAGGTAATTCGTGCTTTTTCCTATTTTTTATGGTTGATAGAAATTTATATGCCGAATATAGTTGATGGACAAATGTTATACACTATTGAACCCAACACTAAGTGCAATCAGGCGAATTAGTTAGTGTAAATTAGTTTGTGAAAATAAAATAAATACATTCTTAGAATCAGTAAGTGTGTCTCGTATAGTAATAAAGATTTTAATAAAATCGTAGATTAAAGACCGTTGACAACACATCAGTGTTGGCACTGATGGTTAGTGTTTCTTTCCAATTCTACTATGTACGTGTGCGTGTTTTATTTTATTTTTATTTTTTTGCTTTATCTTTTTTTATCGTAAATGGTGTAGGTATTTAAGTTTTGTTTTTTTTTTTTCGGGAGGAGGGCGATCATACGAAGTACGCACATACGCACATTATGTTTTTTTTATAGAGATTAGTATCATGAGATTTTTAATAGATCTAATCTAATATTTAAAATAATAGGTCCACCAGTTTCAGTGAAATTTGAAGATCGGATGCTTTTCTTTTTGTTCTCTCGATTTCTAGGATTTCTCTAATAAATTAGAGCGCCATGTGACAACGTAAGAACATATGTACGATATTTATTGGACTTTTAATATATAATAGATTTTTAGAATTTATCTAATTTATTAGAGAGACACGTAGGCAGCGGCGTAAGAGCGTTTGTACAAAGTTTAATGTACTTTTGGTATATAATAGATAGATTTAGAAGATGGTTTAAGGAACATTGATTGGATATTTATTATAAATATTTATTTAACTAAATATATTTATATTTGTGAAGTAATATATTTTAACTTTACATTGTAGATTATCAAATTTTAAGAGACTGTCGATTTTTATGGATGTATGTTTTTTTCTGTCGTTTTTTATGTACATGCGTATGTTTTTTTTCTTCCGGCAGACATTAGCAAGCTTTATTATTTTGTTTTCAATTGTGTACGTACGTAGGTACGTTCAATCGTGTATGGATGTACGTACCGGAAGAACAACATTAACGTTTGTATGGTATTAACTTAGTACGTACGTACGGCACAACAGTAGTAGCGCTGGTATGATATAAACATGAGGAAGTTATTATTTTTTAAATAATAAATCTAATCTAATGGTGTAAAATAACAGGTCCATCAGTGTAAAAATCAACGGTGAGATTAGATAGTGCCATGTGACGACTTAGAAACGTTTGTAGAAGTGACAAGTGACGGCTTAAGAGTGTTTCTAGGAAGTTTAAAGGACTTTTAGTATATAATAGATAATACTAACTCGATTGCCTCCGTTGTTAGGCGTGTTCTTTTCGGCTGCAGGTTTTGGCTGTATGTAAAAACAAGAAACACAATTATTAGCATATGATTAATGAGTATCAATTATTTAAATTTTGAAAAATGATTTTATTTGATTTTTAAAGCATATCCTATATAAAAAGTTTGGGCATAAAACACCGTTTAACAGTTTAAAAAATATGATAACAGAAAACGAGGAGTAGCAATTTTCAATTAGCTGTTTAGAACATGCCCTTAGTTGTGGCTGGTGATCAACAGATCCATATACTATAGGACGAGACAAGCCTGGATCGATCTCGATCGATCGGCCGGCCAGTACTAGATCACACATATGCATGTACGTACACGAGAAGAAGTAGCATGCAAGCTAAGCTGGGCGCAGCGGCCGGGCAGCAGAGGGGGCCAAGATGCTGTCCCCGGCCGGTACGTACGTAGTACGTGCCGTCGCGGCGGACAGCGATCCGTGTCGCGAGATGGAGCGCGGCGATGACGCGCGCGCGCGCGGGCGCGGGGTGCATATGGGTCGATCGGCGTAATAATTCCGCGGGAGAAAACGGACGGAAAGGCGAAAAAGATCGTGGGGGTCCCGGCACGTACTACGTACGCGACGCGCAGGAGGCAGGCGCACGTACGCACGCACTCCACTAGCCATCCAGCCAACCCGCCAACCAGCCGGCCGTCCGTCCCGTCCCGTCCACTCCAAGTCCACCACCACCTTCTCCTGTTAGATTCCACCCCGCGCCCCGCCACGAGATTCGCCTCCCTCCCGCCCCCGTCCGCATCCCCCCCGTCCGCCCCGCACGCCCCCACACCGGCCCAGCGACGACACGGGGATCTCTCACGCATACGCGCGCCGCGCCCCGTACGTAACCCGCGATCCCCCCAACCGGCCGCGGCGCCGACGCGCGCGATAACGACCCCCCGCGCCCCCATGACGACGTACGTTTCCCATCACGGTGCGCGGCCGGTTTTGTAGCCTAGCGGCTTGCGCGATCGCCGCGGGAAACGGTCGAGCGGATCGGAACAACGAAGAGCACCTTCGATATGATCCTTCCTCTCTTCGGTGTATGCATGTACTACTATATGCTGACGTGCATGTAGGCAGCAGGCGGCATGTACACCCATGCATGCCTCGATCGCCGGCCGTTCGGTTAAAGGAAAAAGGACAATCTCATATACACAGTTGTTCAGCGTACGTGTGACGGCTAGCGTGCATATCATACCAACCACAGCCAGTAAAATGGGAGAGATGCTGCACATGAAATCTCACCGATGTGTGTGATGTGTCCAGCGGAAGGAATTAGATCAGGAATCGGATTCGGTCAGAGCTACAGTTTCTAGCATTTTCTTCAGGTATATGTGAGCTCCTGTGATCCTGTCTGCGTGCCGTTTGCGACATACTCCTGCTGGTAGCATTTAATTTAATTTAATTACTAAAGTTTTTGTTTTATTTTCCACGATGATTATGAACTACTCCATTTCCTTTCGTTTTTTTACAGCAAGTGCGTGCTCTAACAGGCAAGTCAGACATTAGTGATACAGAGTAATAATAAATATATACACAAAGCTGAGGACAAAGTAAAGTGCAGCAGGATTATCAAGCACGCAGTCAAAATAAGATTGTAATCTGCTATAGTGGGACGGCTGCAGCTTCTGCATGAAAAGGACAAGGAGAAAGTGTGCAAGCTTATGATTTTTCTAGAAATGGTTTCTGAGCTCATGATATCACCCCATCACCTAATCCTCTGAGAGAACTGGCATTCCTCATCCTTCTCTTGTGTTATTCGTCAACCTGTTATAAATATGTTTTCATAGTGCGCCACTGATTAGTTTCTCTTAACAACTCTTGTTGTCCTATACTGTACAGCATCAAAGCTCTAAGTATTTAATTAGCTGATTAAGTAGTAGTTAATGAGGAGAGAAACTAATCTGTCAACGACAGGCCGGTCATTCCTTCAAAAGATAGCAAAGGTCTTAGCCTGCAATAGTCAACAAAACTTGATCTGGTTTCTTGGACCAACTACGTACATGAACACAAAACTATTGACAGATCTTTTCACTACTCCATATCAGATATTAGTACTCCATCCGTTTCATAATGTAAGTTATTTTAGCATTTCCCATATTCATATGGAGGTTAGTGAATCTATATAGATATATATGTCTAGATTCACTAACCTCTATATGAATGTGGAAAATGCTAGAATGACTTATATTATGAAACGGAGAGAGTAGTATATATGGAGAAAATAAATGGTCCCTAGCTTTAGCTTAACCAAATCAACATAAGGCCGGCCATTTGTCAAGTTTAACCAATGCTTACAGCAGGCCCGCAGGTCAATTTGCTCCAACTACTTAATTTGGCATATATAAATAAGTCAGATGTATATATCGATCAACGCCTGTGTAGGATCAGGGGTTATTTAATATATATTCGGCTAGAACTTGAATTCTACTACTAGTAGTAGTATTTTAGTATCAACTTGATGTATCACATATCCTATAAATAAGGATCCAAACCATAATAATTTGAACGGGGGGAGTCATTTTACAACTTAAATAAACATCCATGCCATGCCATGCATGCATAATCTTCTATGACCAAACTATATATATACGCCTAGTGGTGTGGTTTGAGCGCAGTGATATTACAAATGGGATAGAATGATGAAAAAGGGATGATTAATTAATTAATTTAACCACAATGCATGTACATAAAGAAATACTATAATGTAAGCACATATCTATGGTCTATCACTAGCAAAGTAGCAAACTTTAATTAGTGCTTTCATGTTTGATGACTAGCTAGAAGTACTAGGCCGTGCAAATGTCTGCCCTAAACTTTCTCCCATCAAGATGACAAGAAGTAACATCTCAACAACCATGCAAGAAAGCATGAATGTTTGCAAGATGCTAGCTACTAGCTAGATGAATATATATAGGTATGATCAGATCGATGCAGGTACGCATGATAAAAACCATGCACGTAAAATTTCTCCAGAGTGAAGAAAAATGTCGTTAACCCTTACAAATTAAGAAGAAACACAAACGAAAGGGGGAAAAATAAACAAGAAGATGGAAGCAAGCAAATCAAAATCATCTTCTCGCCAAGAACTTGTTGGCGATCGATGAATAAAAATGGATGCAAATCTAGGAACTAAAACTATCATCTCCCTCCTCGATCGCTGCAACCCAATGTGTACGTACGTACGTGATCCATTTCTGTAGCTTCCTACGCTGTTTCAAAACCCTACATGCCTTTGTGTGAGCCGCCATTAATGTCGATCGTGACACACACGAGAGAGCTTGCTAGCTTACCCCATGCATGGTGGATATGCATGCGTGCTTGCTTAGCTATGGAGCTCTTTTCTTCCATGCTGTTCCACTCACCGGTGAGCTTTGATCCATCGATCACGACGATCCGATCATGGCCGCCACGCGCTTGCCCACACCAGAGGCTGCTCCTTCCACGCGAGGAAGACGCCGGCTCCGGCCGCCGAGTCGTCCGTGCCGGCCTCGCGCATCGACCACCCTTCCCTGTACCGGCGCAGCAGCGATCGCACGTCGTCGGCGACGTCCTCGCTGAATGCCACCGGAGAGAACCCGGCCGACCGCATGCGCCGCGCCCACGACGCCGCCGTCTCCCGCCGCTCCATCGACTCCGACGCCGGGCACGAGACCAAGTCGACGATGGCGCGCCCTGCTCCCCTCTCCAATGCCAGCCTCTCGTTGCTCGTCTTGGGGAAGCTCTCCTCGAGCGAATCCATGTACGCCGAGAAGAAGCGCAAGCCCTCGCCGAACACCTTGAGGAACGCCGCCTCCGTGTCGCCGCCTTCCTCCGTCGCCGACGACGCGTCGGGATCGGACGCCACCAGGTCCGCCTCCTCCTCGACGACGGTGACGACCCGCGGGTCCAGCCGGCGGAGCGACGCCGCGAACGCGTCGCGCCGGCGGGCCCTGCCGGGAACCACGCCGCGCAGCGAGTTGACGCAGTTGACGGCGAGCGCGGTGGTGGCGCCGCCCTCGCGGAGGTCGAGCGCGTCGAGGTCGAGCTCCGCGAGGTCCCCGGAGTGGTGCACGGCGCGGAAGCGGAAGGGCACGCCCATGAGCCGCGCGAACTTCTCCATGCGCTGCCCGATCTCCCGCATGACGCGCTGCACCGCCGCCGTGGGCGCGGACGGCGCGGCGGACACCACGGTGGTGATCGAGAGGTGCGGCGTCTCGTCGGCGGACCGCGTGGCCAGCGCCTCCAGCAGCGTCGGCCACTGCGTGCAGAACGTGTTGCTCAGGTCGAGGATGTGGAACCGCTGCGTCTCCGACGACGCCGCGGCGGCGACCTCCAGGAAGGACTCGAGGATGGCGCCATTGGCGGCGACGTGCCCAAACGAGGACCAGGGGCTGAGCTCCTGGAACCGCAGCGCCGTGCGCCGCGTCGAGTCGAACGACGTGTTCCGGTCGGACGCCGCGGCGAGCGTGCGCAGCGTGCGCGGCCCGGACGCCGTGAGCCGAGCGAACAGCCCCTGCAAGAAGTAGGAAGCCAGCTTCTGCTCCACGTCGCCGTACGGCGACGCGAGCTCGTTGAGCATCCACATGAGCTGCTGCACGCGCTGGCTGTCGCGGGCGGCCACCGACCGCGCGCACTCCAGCAGCAGCTGGCTAGCCCACCTCCCGCCGCCGCCGCCCCCAACCGCGCCCGACGACGCTGTCCCGCCGCCGGACGACGACGCCGGGGACGAGAAGTCGAGGTTGAGGTCCGGCGGGAACGACAGGTCCGCCGCCTCGAACAGGCCGTGCCCGGCGCCCGCCGCGGTGGACGAGGTCGACAGCGGCGGCGTCGGCGCCGTCCCCGTGGGCGTGGACGACGCCGGCGGCTGCTGCTGCTGCACCCGCGCGCCGTGGTGGAAGTGCCTCGACGACGACGAGGAGGAGAAGTCTTCATCCATGTAAAGCTGGTGGTGTGGGGCGTTGCCGCATTCTTCTTGGTACGGCTCCAGGTAGTAGTACTGCGACGGCGGCGGCTGCTGGCCGCCGTAGTAGTACCCTCCGCCGCCTCCGCCGCCGCCGCCGCTGTTGCTGCTGTGGTGGTAGTAGCTGTAGGACGCGTTCGTCTGGTGCGACGACGACCTGGACCCGCTCGACGTCGTGCTCCTCGAGTTGTAGGACGCCGACTGCTGCTGCTGCTGCTGCTGCTCGGAGGCGGCTTGGAGGCTAACCAACCTAAACAGCGTATCCATCTAAGCAACGGCGACGAGGAGGAGGCGGCAACATATGGCGCGGTACAACCAAACAACGCGCGGTAACAAGGGGATTTTAATGGCGAGCCGAGCCGAGCCGAGCTGAGCTAGCTAGTAGCAGCTACACAACCTAGTAGGAGCCATGTAAATTGCGAGGTGTGGTGAGTGGCTTGGTGTTTGTGCTTTTGATGCTCTCTTTCTCTTTGCTTCTCTTTTGGTGAGATCGATAACATTTGAGTAGCTTTTGGCCGGATCGATGAGAGAAGGAGAGGAGGGTGGAGAGGGAGAGGATGAGAGGGAGGGGGATCGATGATGCCTCGCTCTGATTGGAGGGGTTCTTTAAATTTACCGGGGGCAGCAGCAGCAGGCAGCGGCAGTGGGTGTGGGCGCCTTTTGCTGCCTCTGCCTTTGCTTTGCTTGCTTTCTCCATCTCGATCTCACTGCCGAGGCTCGCCTTGCTTTTAGGTTTTTTTTGGTTGGCTTTGCTAACGAACTCAGAGAGAGAGAGAGAGAGAGAGCGCTCGCGACAGTGTAGGGGATGGATGGTGGAGGTGGACCGGTACTGTCACCCTGCAAGTAGGAGCACTGTTTATTATTTCCCCACCACTCTCAATTCAATTTATCACCATTGTTTTAAAAATTCAATTTATCGCCTTTAGTTAGTGGAAGAGAGAGACACAATAGTGTCCAATCGATTCAAATACCGCGAGTTACTATGCGAGCGTACATGATCTCAGTGGTGGAGCCACCGCTCGATAACCCTAGGCGGCTACCTGACCCATCGACGAACACATTATAAAATCGTTATGTTACTGTTACTATAGGGAATAAGATTTTCATAACAAATACTCTCTAAATTTTTTTTGGCCCCACCGCTACATGATCTAGACCTAGAGAAATAGTCTTCTGTAGGACTAAAGTAATAGAGACAATAAATCCATTAAACACGCAATCTATAAAAAGTTTATTGGTTGTGGCTCTCTCACAACTATGACGGACATTTAGCTAGAGCATTTGTCTTTTACCATGTGTAAGAATCTAGTGTAAAACACATTTCAAGCATCCAATATTATCTTGTATCCTAATTCTTTTTTTTTTCTCTTTTGGATGAACTCCTCTTGCTTGCTTTGGTTAGGTTTGACTTATGTCTTTTCCTTTTGTTTTTTTTACTCAATGTGATAGTCCTATGGTAGAAGTACAAATCAAAATCCTATGTAATAGATTATTAAGAAATGTTGTAACATTTACTCTAGTACATGGTTTATTTTTTCGATGGATTGTTGGATCCCAACCTCGGCGGTGCAATGGTTTTGTCAAATTTTGATGAAATTTTGCTCATATATATTGTTTGAAATTTGAATTTATAAAAGACCATTCAAATTTTCAATCACAATATACTTTATCCTACGTGGAAACCTCATAATTTCATGGGTTTTGACCCGTTCCCTTTGGAAACACGAACCCTGCTCTTATACTCCCTCTAGAATGGAGTGCGTGAACATATGCTTCGTGCCTCTATACTCCATGCCAGACCTAATATTGCACACAATCGTAAAAACTGTTACATTTCTAATTTTTTAACGTAAGAAAACAACTACAAAACCATTTACCCATTTTTATCTAGAATGGTAAAATTAATTGTTTCTACTAAAGAGACGTGTTTCATATATGAAATTAAGGTTGTTTTAAAAGGGAAAAAAATCAGGATTTATTGCTCATGTAGTCATGTGCTACGGCATTTGGGATATGAGTCGCAAATCTTGAAATGTCACTAAAATCTTGATCAAATTAGTACATATGAACAAGACTTATTCCCCATATACCCTATTTACATGTTGTTCGATTAATCCTTTTCACATGGCAATTGGAGGGTATTGGGCAATCAATTAATTTCACATGAGATTAAGGAGATTAATCCCACACCCCTTCAATCGAATAAACCCTTAAGATAGGAGGGATGTGAGCTGGGTTGGCTAATCAGATTGTGGTGTTAGCCAATAGACCCTAGGAGAATCCTATGAAAATTCTGTTGAGAACAAGTAGAATTTTGGAAGGGATTGATTAAAGAAATTGAAGGACTTCTACGGTACAATACACTAGCAATATATATTTTTGGCATATACAAAGATACACTAGGAATTTCCATGTACAAGTTCGCGTGAGCATGGTGGAGAGTGGGGAGTTGGGCATCATTGCTGCTGCCTCCTCCAGGTAGAGGAACTAGCTAGGGTTTTGGGTGGGTCGGAAATTGAGAAGACGAAAGAAAGGCAATTCGAATTAATTTACAGGCAGGCAGGCACAATAGCGTGGTGCGCGTGAACTTGCAGTGCGTGTGGCGTCTCTCTATGGCGGTATGGCCTATGATGGACGACAACTACGGGACTGGGGAATGAAATCAAGTGAGGAACACGTCTAGCATTGTGCATTTATGTACAACAGTTGTCTGCAAGCAAACATTTAGAAAGACAATTATCCCCTTTTCAATTTTATACTACAATTAATTTAAGTTGGTAGGCCAGTTAATCTACACCATCTGATCATTCATACTAATAAAATGTACTGTTTGTATTGATCCATATGTTATGAAACGAAGGTAGTATCGTATATAGATCTTCTCAGAAATTTATGTCTTCTCTCTGTTCCAAACTCTCCAAAATTCCTGTAAGAACCCCACGTTGAAAACAGGGCCTTTAATCTCACTAATCATGCTCTCTTAAGCAGCGCAACTCCAACATCTGATCAAAAACTAACACCGCACATTTTGGCCGTTCCAATTTCTGGACAAAAGCGATTCCCCCGTCGCCCCAACAATCCTGGGATACATCAAAGACCAGCTAGTGCGCGCCTGAAATGACCGTTCAGGCCAGGACGACAGCAACCTACCTTGGAGGCTTTGTCAGGCATCAGCTGCATGCTGATATGAGTTGAGAGGAAAGAAAAATTATTCCCTTGCTTGCTGCATGCCATTATATTGCTCCCAATCTCCCATCGCATTGCCCATTTGCCCTCCAGTTGTGACTTGTGAAGAAGGAATTATACTCTCTACACAACAGCAGCAGCAGCAGCAGCAGCAGCAGCAGCAGCACGCAGTACGTACTGCTACGTAGTAGTACGTACACTGGCGAGCCCATCAGTAGGCTGTACACATGCGCGACACATGAAAGAAAGGCTAAAAGAATATGGAGATCAGATCGAAGCAAGCAAAGGCAGCAGCAGCAGCAAGCAGCAAGCAGCAGTGTGATGCAGCAGCTAGCAACTAGCACGGCTGAAAAACAAAAGGGGCTTAGCTAGCAAGCAAAAAAGCTGGAGCTCGCACCGAGAGCACGGCGTGCACGCGGTGGCCATCATCGTTCGTCGTCAAGGCCGGCCGGCCACCACCACTACTGCAACCCAACCCATATACAACTATATACTGGACTAGTACATTCTTTGTGAGATCTCCCTTTTGGATAGTAGAGAAAGGTCCTAGATACACGGCCTTCTTTTGGATTTTGCCACGAATTTATCGCCCGGTTTCAATTCTCTCCTTTTGGAAGGCCAAAAAGACAGGGCCCTGCATGCACATATGACTATAGTGAGTGACTATTATACCACCAACTTTCCTTTTCTCTTTTCTGAAGAACAAGAACCTGTCTAACATATCGTTTGATTAACATATATAATTATTATATCACGTACTAGTTGGGATGGACGCCGGCCGGCCGGCCGGCACTGTAGCTAGTCTATAGCTTAAGCTTTGTTGCTCCAAAAGAGAGAAATGTGCTCGTGTCTCTTTCTTGCTATGCAGTGCTACCGCTGCTGCTGCTGCTGCACACAGCTGCATGCAGGTTTAGCTAGCAGCTGTTGCTACTGCTAGCTCTTCTCTCTCTTTACCTAATATCATATGCTAGATCGTGCAGTGATGGGGTCGTGGAAACGCAGGGGGACCTTTGCACTGTCCGGCCGGGTAGGTCGAGCAGACGAGCACTGTACTGACTGATAGAGAAGTTGTGTTGTGAGTTGGCGGTATTTGACTGTTGAGCTGTAGCAAAGCATGCAGTACGTGCAGCGGCAGCGGCAGCTGATGGTTTCGGCCATGATCAGGGGTTTGAAAGAGAGGGGAGAAGCTAGGCCTGGTCCGTTTGTTGATTGATAGATCGATCGGTAGCTGATCACTACTGAACTTTGATTGGGAAAACTTCTGAGAATTATCTGAACCCCGGCAACTTGGCACCATTCTTGCAGAGCGTACCTCCAATTAGAACACTAGCTAGTGTCTCTCTTTCATATCCATGGTCCATGCTCACATCTCACATGTTACCTTTTTTTTAAGTTTTGTATAACGGTTCCAGCTTGTCCTGTCAGTCACAAATGTTGACGAACTGTTATCTCGGAAATTAAACGTGTTCATGTGGCTCCATATGGTGGTTCTCTGAATACTACTACAGCTACACCCTGAAATATATTACGCAGCTAGACGGCTGGATGAACCGAGCAGTACTTCGAGAATTGCAGACATATGGTAATACGTACAATTTCATTTCGTATTCTAGTTAACGTATGCAGCCAGATATAAAACAAATTAACATGTACATATACAAAATCTGAAACTGAATATCTGGATCAAAGCATGCTTGAATAGGATGATCTCTATATTGATCCTTCTCCTGTAACTTGGAAAGCTATGCTTAAAAGATTGATGAGTTGACGTTAAGGCTCAGAATTTGAGATAGACCTTTGTTTCAATCATGGATTGGCGCTATGTAATTTTCATGCCTCACATAAACCCTGTAAATATTCCTTAATTTGATATTTACCGTGGGGGTCCTCCCTTACTGTTCTCCTGTAAAAAAAGTCTAAATCTCTGAGTTCAGGTGCAATCACCTTAGACGGCGAGCAACTCATTTGGAAGTGGGAAGCTTCAGGGCAATACTCCACCAAGTCAGCTTACATAATCCTCTTTTTTGGTCGTGAAATCTGCCCATCCAAGCCATTTTGAAAAGAAAAAAAAACACGTGCCGCCGTGCTGTATTTTTCCTATTGGTTGCTTATCGCCGTTGTTGGACGGCATACAGGCTAAGCAAGCATGGCTTAATTGCCTCATCAGAGCAAATGTGTCTTCTGCGACTAGCAAGAGGAAACGATCAACTACATCTAGATTGGTTACCCAGAGACCTTTTTGGGTGGATTATCATAAACACCATTGGCCAATCTTGGTGCTTCCTATCCAATCCACAATCGTTCTCACTGTGGCGGTACAACAGTAGGAAGTTGGTTATCAAAACCCCGAGGAAAGGATATAATACAATTGTCATCCTAGCCACGTTAATTTGGAAAGAAGGTAACAATAGGATCTTTAACAACCAACACAAAACTCGGAGAAAGGTGGTTGGCGCAGCTGCAGAGGAAGTAACACGTTTACGCCCTATCTAAGCGGGTTTCCCCTCTCCTCTACGGGAGTCCTCAGGGATGCTAGCCTTGTGCCAACCGATGGCCCTGTCGTGGTCACAAAACCATATATATCGCAAGATCT